TTCACTAATTATTTTAACTATCATTCTATTTCGTTACTTTTTTCTTCCTTTTTTTTTTTTTTTGTTTTTGTTTGAACATTATCAAATGATTACATAAACAATAAGCAAATATCAAATAATTGCATGAACAATAAACAAACAAATTATATTATTCTTATTCGCTATTGCTATTCCAAACAAATCTTTGAAGTATGAATCTATTTTTGCATATTTTGATATTATTTTAATTACCATTCATTCTTCTTGTTTTTTTTTCCATAAATATTATCAAATTGTCTCTAACATTATCAAATGATTGCATAAACAATAAGCAAACAAATCAATTTTCATCTTTTCGCTACTATATATTTCTCTGATGAATTTATTTTCTCTCTATTTATCTTTCTTTCTTTCTCTTTCTTTTTCTTAAAAAAAAAGAGAAGTTTAAATGATTGCTTTCATTTATTTTACTATTCCTGTTCCTATTATTAGATTTCACAACTGGTCAAGTTTGAGATTTGAAAGTGGACAATATCAACAACGATGGCTTTAGCGGCGGCAATTTTCTCATCAAAGGTAATCTTGTTATATGGATGTTACCTTGGCATTTCGTATATATTGAAAGTAATTAATTAGGGATACAATTTGAAAATGATTGATTAAGGATATAAGTGATAGATAGTTTTAAATTTTATGTTTAGGAATATCATTGGTTTTATTGATGTCGAAAAAATTGTAGCATTTATAAGTGAAATAAGCGATATTTGTTCAGAAATAATTATCAGTAAATTATTACCTCTGTTAACAATAATCATTATCAGTAAGACCTTAGGAGAAAAAAAAGAATGTTGATAATGATTTTAATTGCAGCTATTAATATTTCCAGCTGTTATTTTGGTCTCTAATAATTTTATTAGATTCCAATTTGAATGCCATCAATTTGTCTTCTTTCTCATCATCATGGTTACATCACGATGATAGGAATTTGGATTTCAACAATCAATCAACAAATACAGGTAGGATAAATTGTTATATGTAATCGGTGAAAATTGAATTTAATTCTGTAGTCGTAAAATTTAAATTGAAACATATTAAGTTAGTTAGGGTAACTCATTACTAATTTGTTGATTCTTTGTGACATTTTCAGAAATGTTAACTTTAATCTCTGATTATATTTTGTCATATCATCCGTATTTCATTGGCAAGAATTACAAAAACAAAGCTTAAAAAGCTGATTTGTGTGAAAAGTTCGAAAATTCCCAAATACTATTTCAATATAAACGATTTAGAAAACTTGCTGAAATTTTTTTGACTTTCAAAATTAGTTTAAGTGCATATTTAATAATTGTTCGAAATGCTTTGTTTTTTTTTAAAATTGTCAAACAATTCGGCGTTCTCTGAATGAATTCCTTTAGGAAAATCACCGACAAATCACACACGCAAAGATTTTCGAGGGAATTTTTCAAGAAATGAAGAAATTGCATTCAATAATATTGGACGGGTATAATTATATTCTTTTACTACTATAGCATAGAATTGATAAGACACTTACTGTTTCTATTGATTATGCATTGATAACAGCCTATATTGATTGATAAGATGTTAATTTTTCTTCTCAAATATATTTTAAGTCATCAATCATTTACAAAATAATAAACCCAAATTTTTGGATTTATATAAGGCTGATATGTTCCTTATATATTGATAATAAATCAGTAATAACAATGTTTCGGTCAATAATATTCGAAATAGGAACTGATAAATTATTCATTGTAAAAATTATTTATATCCTTGCATCATTTATATGTGAATTATTTATTTTAATTTAATATTTAGTTTAATATTTAAAAATTCAACATTTAATTTTCTTTATTTTAATTTGACGAAAAATTTTTTAATTTTTCGAAATACTAAATTTGCATGAATTCAGCCGATGATTTATTTTAAGGAGGCTAACAATGACAGTCAATGGTATGATTATGATAAGGTTAAGCAATTCATTATCCCAACAGTTGACAATTATACAAAATCAATGAAGTCAAGGAGAATTTATCATTCTTACAGGTTTACTTATTTATGTAAAATGTTAATTCCTTCTTGAAAAAAAAAAAAACGACTTCATTATATCGAAATCAGAAGTCTATAAATAATTACAATAGGCGAAAAAAAAGGATGATTAAGCAAATAAATTTGAATATAAAATGCAAGATTTAAGTTGAAATTTAGCATATAACCAAGGAAAAAGCAAATTATGAGCTAAAATAGGAATATGAAGCTAAAAAATCAAAGATAAATTAATCATTCCAAGAGAAAAAATTATAAATTTCATATTTAACATTTGCTACTGATAAAGTTAATTTTTAACACTTTACATATGTAATTTTTTGTCATTCTTCAGACGATCATTAAAGAGTATGAAACGATGCATTCGATATAGTGAAAGATATCTTTATCAATTAATGGAACGATCAGGAATGCTAAATCAATGGTTTATGGCAAATAATCCGGATGAAGCGGGCCGTAATTTTGCTCGCTTTTATAAAAATTTTTTCAAAACTAAATTTGATATCTTCGATTTACCTCAGGAAGATAGTTTACGATCTGATATTGGGGTCAGTTGGATTAATTAACATATAATTAAATGATACTGTAGCTTGTATATGTTAATTGAAAGGATCACTCTTGTTAGTTCCAACAATCCTTATTCAATTTTTTCTTTCTCTTTCTCTTCATCGTTCCCTCTTTCTCCTTCTTTCTCTCTTTCTCTAAGGCAATAGAATAAGAACAATTGTTCATAAAAATTTTTAAAAAAAATCATACAGTAATAATATAGGGAAAAAAATTTCTGAGTGAAATATTATTTTTTTAATTTAACAATTAAATATTAATTAACAAGTATTCATGTATTAGGTATGATTTTATTTAAGCATTCTTTGTTTATCTCTGATAAAATTAATTATAGATGATTATTTTTGATCATATCATTTTCAATTATCACGATCATAATTATGAAATATAATATTCAGGTAATCATTTTCAGAATATCAACATATCATTTACATGCAATGATTTATGCCGAAATATTATTTGGAAATTAGATGAAGCACTTACAAAGGAGAAAAATGGCACACTTTTACTAAATGTACCATTTTTGGATGATGCTCAAATACGCATAATCAATGCTAATTCAACAAAATCAACATTAACTAATTGTCAATTAGGTAAACATTTAATGAAATAAAAGTATTTGAATTTTAAAATTAGATTAAAATAGAATTTGTTGTTGTTGTTGTTGTTAAATTAGCTAAAATTCTCTTATCATTTGAAATATTGCATAAAATTGCATACAATAAGTATATTGATAAATATATTAATTACATATATTATAATTTAATTCTTATAATTTAATTAATAATAGCTTATTTTTGCAATGATAAATAGCAAAAAACAAAAAATAAACTTATATGAATAAAGAATGGCTAAAAAGGTAAGAAGAGAAGGGAAGAAACAAGAAATTTTCCCATTGAGCATACAAAATTATAATCTTCCATTTTCCATCTAACAATGTCATTTATTTCATTAAAATATTTATTTTTTTTATTCCCAATTTTGAAAATAAAATTTTTTATCATTTAAAACCAAGTATTAATCATTTATTTCATTATCATTTAAAATACAACTGTTAACCTAACTCGCCGTACTTTTAGTTTATTAATTTAAAATCTTAAATTATTTTCAAAAACCATGTAGTAAGTCTTTTTTCCCAAAAATTATATAATTATGAAAATATATATATAATACAATCAAACATTGTTCGAAATTAACTATTTGGTAATTAACATTCCACCAGAGCTCTTCCTGGTATTGCATTGTAATTGAGTTAAAGTGATAAATGAAACAGTTAAGTGATAAATGATAATTGTTAAGGGATGTTTATACCAGTCGGAAAATGTATTCAGCAAGGTGCGGAAGAATACGAGGAGCATAGCAAATTGTGTACATCTTGCCAAGGTGTATATATGCTTGATAAAATGTGTTTTCCGCGATTTATCAATGCGATAAGATGTGAAAGTCAAATTCAAACATCTGGATGTATTTTTGATAAGATTTCAACACAAGGTATTGTTTAAACATGATTAAAAGAAGCTTATAATTTATAGATTTGGAATTTCCTCTCGAATTAAATTAATAGATTTTATGTATATCAAGGATTTGCCTCACATTACTTTGATTATTCATTACATTTAAATATCTAATATTTGCCTATTAAACAGAGAGGTAGAGAGAGAGAGGAAGAGATCCGACAATTCAAAATTTAATTTTTAAAAGCAAACTAATTGACTAGTTGACTTCCGTTTACAGTATTTCGTTACTTTTAGATTTTTCTTTTGGCTGAAATATACTCAAAAATGATTTGTAGAAGTGAAATCCAATTAAATTATACGAATTCTAACATCAAAATTAATTTCAGCTCATGGTTCATGTTATATGCGTACGCTTACGTTTAAAGTGTTACGTAATGCAGGAAGTGAGGAATGTCAAGAGTGGCACTATGAATACATTCAAGTTCCAACATCCTGCGAATGTCAACTTGATATGGAATCATTACTGTTAAGTGCTGTGAAACCATGATAATGGACAACAGGAAGAGCTGAATGACAAATTCGATGAATGACAGCAATGAGCGAACGGAAGTACAAATGGTGTAAAAAAGACCAGGAAGGGAGAAAGCAAAGAATGATTTATATTGATAAGCGAGAAAGTGATCATCTTTTATTGTTTAATTGATATCATGACGGTGGTCTTCGTGACCTTTTTTTGTATTTTATTCTACAAATGGTTCATATTTTGAAATTTGAAATTTACACTGCAGAATGATGTAATTTTTATTACAATACCACTCAAACTACCAAAATTTCGAAGTAAAATTGGAATGAATGAAGTTACATCAAATTAAAACGACATAACGATCATATCTTTTTTCCTCACATTCAAAACGCGACCGAAAAGCAGTTTAAGACAAAAATAAATTCACAGTCAACCAATAAATCTTTATCACAACTATTCGCCTATGCCGATCAAGAAAAAAAATCTTTCATGACACCAGGTTAGTAAATCGACATACAACTGCTTACACTGATTACTCACTATGAGCTATAAGAATAACTTCAAAATAAAGAATAAGGAATGAAAGACAAGGAACATAC